GGCTGTTGTTAAACAGAATTGTTTTCCATACAACACCGTTGTTTGGCATTAGCTGTGTATTTAGCCTTGAATTATCTATTTAGTCCTCTATCAATTTTCCATTGTTTTGTCTGTGACATCAGAGAAAGTAGTCTGCAGATGCCTGGTTGTTTTGTCCCCCACTCTTAACAATGTCATGCTTCCTGCATCTTAAAATTCCCTAAGATTAAATTATCTCCAAGAAGCCAGAAGTTTCCTTGGCCAGCTCTTAAAGAACTTGGTGAGGCAGAGTTGCAGTAGATGATCACTGAAGGTCTTTTAAACATCCTTGCACACATCCTTATTGCACACTGCCTCTTGCAGCACTTATAGACCATCTGCCTTTATCAGCTGGATTTTAACAAGCCTAGTGGAATCACAACCTTCCCATATTCCAGATAATATAAAGATTCCTGTAATGAATGGTAACAAACTAGTGCTGCTGTTAAGCGGAAGCTGGATTTGCACCATTTGCTGTTTTCTCCCAAACTTCATCTTAGGATAAATTACTAGTATTTTTATTCTGTGATACATTTTAGGAAAATGTTTTGAATAGCGTGTCCAAGGATATTTGCCAGCTCTGGTTAAATGTCAGCCATCTGTTTTCAGTTTTAAAAGGGCTGTTTGTAGATGCAGCAACTGGCAATGGCAAGAACAAAGCAGTGAGCTTGGGACACCCCAGGGAACTGCAGGCTGGTGAGCCTCCACCCAGCCCTGCAGAGATGATAGTACTGAAAAGTCTGAAACATTGAGGACAAGAAGGTGACTGGAATCCATACATCCCCAGTATGGATAGGACTGAGCAAGTCATGTCAGGCTGACCTGGCCACCTTCTGTGATGAAATGACTGCCTTGATAAATGAAGGGAGAGGAGAGGGATGTTCCTCAGTTTGGCCATAGCTTTCAGTGGTGTTTTCTAAAAGAATCTCATAGACAAACTGAAGGACTACAGACTGGATTTATAGACATTGAGTCGGACTGAGAACTGCAGAGCTTCTGGGTTCAAGGGTTTGAGATCACTGGCAGAATGTCCAGCTTGAGTCCAGTTGCTGGTGTTGTGACCTAGGTCCCAGACTGCGGCCAACACACATTCAAGCTCTGGATGTTTCCTGTCTCTTTAAGCAACAAGTTGAGCAGCCCAAAGCACAGGACTAAAAGCTTTCCACAAAACCTAATAAATTCCAAGTGTAACAGCAATGGCCTACAAAATAACAGCGACAATAGGGTTTTTTAGACAAAGCCTATTTATACTGATAAAAAGCTGAAGCTGGCTTTCTGCAATTAACAGGAAAAAGCTCCTATAAATACAAATGGCAAGTCTTCATGACTCCTAGAATTTATTTCCTACATGAAGTGGTGTAATCAGGTGGCAAGATCATAAATTATTCTAACTTAATAGTGGTCTGCTGGTATCCTCCCTGGCCAGCTGCAGTATGGTGTCCAGCAACCCTCAGCAGCAGGACACAGGCTGCCACCACAGCACATGAAGAAGTCAATCTTGTTGTCTTAGTACTGACCAACTTTTCCTCACCCTTTTGGCTCCAAGATCTTTCTTGGGGCTCAGATACATGGGGAAATTAGCCAAAATTTCTCCCTGGGTGAAAACTAGCCTAGAACACTGCAATTATATGGGGTGGAGTTTTACAGCAACAATGTCAGTTTGTCTCCCCAAAGACAACCTTTAGTCACACTTGTCTAGAATCTGTAAAATTTCTGTTGTAGCTGAGTCTGTGTGCTTCACATTCAGCATGCATCAGGCATTGCAGTCGGTTTGTAGAGATAAGAAACTCCCAGGACAGGAAAACTTTTGACAACACAAGGGAAGAAAACCCACAGGCACTGATTACAGAGGTTATAATTCTTTCTGCTGACACTTCAGCATCCCTGGAACATGACCCTCACTCTGTTTATGTCTTTGGCACAAATAGTTCAAGCAATGTCTAGCTGACCTTTTGATTGCAGCTCTGCACTTGAGGCCTGTAGCTTCTCTCTCACCTCTTCCAGCTCATGGTACACCTCATTGAAGAGGAAAGAGTAAGACCCTCTGTGCATGGCAGTATTTTGGAGCAGCTGATGCATAGCTCCCAAAGCCATGTTGGCCACATGGTCCCTTGAGCCTTGTAGGGGGCTGAAGCACTCTTGATACTTGTTCTTCCAGAGGCTTGAGAGGGACTGAGGAAGATGGGAGACTAAGCACAGAGATTCTTGTTTTCTAATACACTATGAATTTTCTCACTTTTAATCTCTCAAAAATGGGTCACCTCTTGCCTAAAAAACATTTCAAGCAATGTCCTGGCATCTCTTTATTTATTAATTCATTTACTGGAAAGCATCTTGTATTTGAAAGAGTATCCTGATCTTCCATTCACAAACAGGATGAGTACAGATATGGCTAGGAAGAACAAACAGAACAGTGTGAAACCGTTCTGAATCCTGTCCTGGTTTGGCTTCCTCCTTGAACAACAGTGGTGCCACCAGCTGGCAAGAGCTGAGGCCTTAAGTCACAGAGATCAGAAACAAAATACACCCAAGAAGGGAAGTGATGACAGCCAAGGAAACCTGCAGCAGCTGGGCTGGAACTGGAGGCAGGCAGCAGATTGAGTGTTGAAAGGGGTAATGTCGACTGCCACATGTTTGTACTGTACAGTGAAGGCATAGTTGATAACACCATAGACCAGCTGCAGGCTCCAGGCCAAGGCGTGCAGTGGATCTCATTTTGGTTCCACAAACAGGAATGATGATGGCCACGCATACACATGCCAAGCATGGCCAGTGAGAAAGCACCGAGGGAACCCAGACTGTTTGGCAGAAGGAGTGAAGGCTCTGGTCATAGAACAGTTAAAAATCTCTTCTCCCAAAAATGGTGAGCTGTCTTACATAAGGGAACAAATTGATTCATCTGCACTGTGAATGGGAAAGCAAGGGGACCTGCAAGACAGGTGATGGGACAAAATAGATGAATGCTAAAATTAGTTGCTTGTGGACAATTTAAGACTTTTTATTGCTGAGATTTAAACTGGACATGCATGTAAGAGGAGCTCAATGAATACCAGCAGCTTTGGAATTTGTGAGCTCATTTTTGGTCCTTAAGTCAGCTGGCAAGCCCCACACCATCTGAATGCTGTATTCAGTGGAGCATCTGGGGCAAGTGGGGAGTTAGTGACCCTGGTTGCCAGAGCCCTCTCTAACCTGTCATTTTCTGTATGTCTCCAGGGCCAGGGGCTTTGGTTCTCCTTTGCATCTCTTAGTTTGGCTGGAAGGCCCAGTGGAATGACAGTGTTAGCTTTCCTATGTCTTTTTAAATTCTGCTCTTCCAACATTCATAAGCATCAGTAATGCCTACTACGGGGAGCAGAGATAGTCTCTCAATTAGCTTAAAAACCTTTACTTACAAAGCTTCAATTTGTCCATGGCCATGGAAACTAGCCTCTCAGGATGAGGCCAAGGGTAAAGACAACAAAGCCGAAGCTGATTTTAGGCACAGGATTTTAGCCTCCAGCATAAAACTTAGACCTCTTAAGCATTCCTCTTCTGAAAAAAATAACTTTCCCTCTTATAGGCAGTGAAACAGGACAGCTGTGTGAAAGCCTCAGTCTCCTGTGCAGTGCAAATATGTGGAAGTGCTACAGGTGGAGTTTTGGGATGCAAGATCTCCCTAAAACCTGTAGTCCTATACCTGACTGTCCAGGTACATTTACCTGTGCTGTTCAACACTTCTAAGAGGTAGGTCCTTAGAAAAAAATAGTGGTTGAAAGGAAACTCTTGCCTCAGAGCAAATGAGTTATCAGAACAGTTTGTTTTCATTGAATCAGTTATGTCTACAAAAAGGCTGGACTGTTGCAGTAAGAAACCCAAGCCCATTTGCTTTTAAACTGCCCCAGATTTACTTGCAAAGGGATATTAACAAACAAGGGAAAAAATCAGCCAAGCCAACACACTATACAAATACATTTTATTTAGAGATACCCATAGTAAGATGCACAAATACTTTTTGTTCACCAATTTTCAGATCACATGACTTCAAGTAGTGGAAAAAAACAAACTGCAGTTAATTACAATTATCTATGTAACAGGGCAGTAGTAAAAGTTTCATTTGCCAGACTACAGCATGGTTAACGATACTCAGATGAAAATGTACAGGTCTAGGTATTTAAAAAGTGCATGGGGCATTGCCACATACACTAACATGCTTCTTCAAAGAGCAGTATCTTTCTGGCATGTGAACACAGTAACCCGGTTAATGCAAGAGGGAAAATAGGTTCATAATTTGATTTGGAAATGTATCTACTAAAAGTTTTCCTCCAAACAGCAAATTATTTGTGACTGACACATGGAAACCAATCTATGACAATCACTGTTACATTGCCCATGTAGTCAAGCAACACACACATGACCTAAAATTTAAAATTATCAGTTCCAGTTTATGCCTTCACAGCTTTTACACAGTCTTCTTCAAAAGAATCCAGAATACTTAATTGCAATTAACAAGCTGGTGGAAGAGCTGTAATCTGAGCTCCACACTCTTGCACACACAACGCGTTCTTCCACAAGAGAAATCTCAAATTAAAAAAAAAACATATTCCACCTGTAAGGACATCAACTGGTTCATGTATTGCTTGGTTTATTTTTAAATTCCATGTAAAGGGAGGGAAAGGTAGGAAGCTGTGCTGGTCTTAGAGAATAGCTGCATTGGTTTAAAGTTATATTTAAAACACATGGAACCGGGACTCTTTATCTCCAGGGTCTCTCTCAAACCAAGGAAATTCATTAGGTTCTGCTACCCAATGCGGTCCCCATTTTGTTTTTAAATAGGGATAGTGCTGAATAGTGCTTGGGAAAGACCAGCAAGGACTGTTGTGTGAGTGATAGCATATAAGAGCAAGAAACAGATTAAATCAGTCTTCAGATAATATTCTTCCATTGCAAACCAAAGAGACTGACTTTTCGTTATAGTTGGGAGGCACATTTTGCATTGATGGACAGAAAATCTTGGTTTATGTTGCAACTTTCTGTGGCTTAAAATACCACGTAACCTCCTGTTAAAGCAATTTTAAAAAAGAAACAAAAACAACCCTCAATTACTGTTTTTATACTTAAAATTCATAAGCTGCTCCCTCACCTATTCCACTCAGAGATACCTTTCTACTTGTGTATGTGCAGCTGCTTTCCTCACTGTTTGTCTAAGAGATCCTTGTTTCTGTGCACCTTGAGAGTAGAAAAGTATTTCTGATGCCTCAGGATGGGCCCTTGTACTATGTTCAGGAGCTGAGAAAGTCAGTATGGTTTTGTACATTTGCAGTGAACCACAAAATAAAAACAAGAAAAAGAAAAGCCACTGAATTGCAATAACCAGCAGTATGGTAATCAACTCCATGGAATAGGAGTGACTTTGGAGCAAACCTTTTTGGACTGAAAGGGATATGGCAGTCCAAGATAGCTAGAGCTGAGTAAAAATAATAAGAACACTGTGAGCAAGGTCCCAGTTCAGCAGACCACTGCCTAAGCGAGTGTAGAAGTTTCGAAGTCTGGTAGGGCTCTAACAGTTACCCCTAGGCTTTGCAGAACTTGGTACCTGAACTAGTACACCATGAGAGAACAGGGAACTTGCTCAAATCCCAAGCAGCAGTGTGACAAGATGTGAGGCTGGGACAAGAGACTGAGACTAGAGACAGCATTTTGAACAAGAGGGACAAAGCCCACCAGAAGTTACTTACCCAGTTCTTTCTGTAACAGCCCCACTATCACACCTGCAATGTGAGAGAAGCCCAAAGCAACCAGCTGAAGCTGTAAATCACAGCTGGCCTCTTATATCCCTGCACTGTCAACAGCCAGCCAAGTGGAGGACAATGCAGACAAGGCCCTTTCACTCCACCATCCCTGCACAAAGCATGTGGAGGGGGCTGGTGGCAGCTGTGAAGCACATTAGTCATAGTCACTCATGAAAACAGTGACAAGTGCACTGATAATCTTGAATGCTGAGGAGAAGACTGAGTGACCACTGGGGAAACTGGTTTTTCCGCATGCCATCTTCACATCTCCTCTGAAGAGGGATGACCACCAGTTTTGAAAGCTCTGGGAGCAAGTAACTTGCAGTGATCTAAGGCATGATGGCACAAACCCTCAAGGCCTACCCTTCAAGCATTCCATTGCCAGCTCGCCTCTGAACCTAGCCAGCCTTTGTCATTCTTGCTGGCCAAAGTACATTAGAATAACTTTTCTCTTTTGAGCAGAGGGTTATTGTTTTGCTCATATCCCTACTCTTTTGTAATTCCACCCCAAAAAAATAAATCTCTGGAGCAAACCTTTACATGGGATCAAGCCAGTAACTCATCCTCCTGATATTGCCCTGAGTGAAATATTTAGTCAAGACTTAAAGTAGCAGTCAAAGATGCCAGTTCTCTGGCTAAACCACTACAGATCAATTTGACAAACACTGGGTGAAGGCATAGGGCACCTGCTGATATCCACTGAAAAATATGGCTGCAAGAGGATTTCAGCTTCTGCAGACTGTGCAGGAGTGGAGTCTCCACTTGTAAGACAGGCATCCAGCCATGGAAGTTTATGGTAAAAGCACAGAGTGATCTTTGTCACACATTGGGCTGTAGCCACATTGGGCTACAGGTTTTCTTTTTATTATTACTTGATAATTTTCAGAGTAGGCCAACAACTTTGAACTGATTGTTACAGGTGCACTAGCAAGAAATGGGAGAAGAGGAAGATACCAAAGATAGAAAACGAAGTTAAATCCATTTGTTCTACTTGGAAAAGTGACCGTCATAAAAACAGCACCTGACTGAATTTAAATTAAAGAACTCTGAAACTGTCATGAAACAAAAAGAGCTCAACACTATGTGTACACTGTGGTCTAGAGAGAACAGATAGCACAGAAAACACACAGACTACTTAGAGTTCCATGACCATGTATTAATGTCAATAAACTGATGACTAATCGTGCTGATTCTACATACAAAGGTAGCCTCATGGATCAACAGAGTGCAGTACTGTAATTCAATTAATTATGCATAGGCATGTCCATGGAAGACCACAGCAAGTGAAGATATAGTATAGAAGATAAAGAAGTTCCTGTTTCTATGCTCTTATGAGATGTAATGTATCAATTGTACTGTCTGCATAAGATTCAGAAACTCAACCCAAATTCCAGATGTCAGTTTGAGGTTTGTAAACAAATATATCTTTAGAAAACTAAGCCAAATGTATGCCTTTGTGTTGAAAAAAACAAGAAAAAAATCCTTTTCAGAGGGGAGAAACAATTTGAAAGGTAACAGAACACTGAGCTCCATGTGCAGACAGGCTAGTTTCACATACTATCTGCAGTTTCCCACTGTTCCATTTGTAAGCTGCATCAATGACCTGGAACAGGTTAAAAAATGTGCACTGTAATATTTGAAGAGAACTGTTACTACTTTGCTTGACAGCTTCTATGATAGTTCAGGATTCAGCGCTGTTTCTGATACAGGTCATGACAGAAACAAGCTGAGAAAGCCTCTGTTAGATGGGTGGAATTGGAGTTGTTAACAAACATCAGACCCTGGATTCAGAACAAAAGCCATCAAGTATCAGCAAGTCCCAATTTTTTTTTTTCCTCAAAGCTTTGGATCTTATTAAAAATATTTGGGAAAAAAACCAAAACATTAAAACCAGTTCACTGTAGGAAATCCTACCTTCAGGCAACAAGTTATGATCACTGCACATTTTAAAACACCTTGTGCATTTTGTGCATCTTATGCACCACAGGCAGTGGGGAAGATCCAGCATTTATCTACACATGAACATACAAGCAAGCCCTGACAGGTGTTGCTGGCAAGACTGATACCAAGACCAACCAGCACATTGATTCGTCTACACTACATCCTAAGACAAATGGAACAAGTCACAAGTAACAGTACAAACCTGTTGCATTTTAACACATATATCTTAGAAAAAGATAATGCATGTATCCAACCCTAGGACAGTGACAAATTTGAGATAACTATAAAGATCAAGGTACCAGAAGAGGAAGGCACATTAACCTCTGGTTGGTCCATTTCAGTACTATTTGGATGAGTCATAGTGATTTATACCCTGAGACTGTGGGAGGCCTTGAAAATGAAAAGAGACAGGTGAATGGGCAAATAAAAAGTACAAGTTTAATGAGATTGTAAGATTCAGCACCTGAATTTTCCCTTTTAGTATGGGAATCTAGAAAAGCAGTTCCTAAGAAAATGCTGTATTGACTCCTAAATTTTTTGTCCTGAAGGCAAAAGAATCAATTCAAAAGAATCTTGGACTAAAGACATTGCATTATGTTGCAAGGGGTTTTATACACCCTCTCAGTTTTAGTACAGCAACCACAATTTGTATACAATCAAGTGTTAGTGGTCTTTTGGGTATAGAAACAGTCAGACAGCCCACATTTTCCCACCTCTGCCAACCCCAGCACTCCATTTTAAATCTGTCTGCACTTTTTTAGACTACACTGCTCCCAGCAGGATACTAGTGGGAAAGGCTGTTAGGAAATGAAGGGTTTCTTTCTGCAAGAGCATTCTTTTAATTAGCCAAGTACCACATGGTTTTCTTGAAAAAAACCAACATCACAAGCAAAAAGATCCTGCCTAATTTTATCTTTGAAAAAAAACCACAAAGAATCAGAAAATGTCAGGGATAAACTTGATCTCTCAAAGACGTTTCTGATTAAGCATTTACATATATCCCCTCTGTTTTTTTAATTCTTCAGGAGTTCCAAGAGCCATACCAAACACTGCTTACTTTTTACTGTTTCTCTGGTGTTCCTTGCCCATCCTCACTACACAAAGTACTCATGTACAGGGGCAAAGGAGAGCACCTCACACAAGATGCGGCTGTGTTCTCTTTTCCACTCTCCCTTGTCCCAGGGTGTCTGCTTCAGAATTTCAAATAAGTTACTGAGGGCACTATAACACTCAGAAATGGTTTTAAGTTGAGGTCACACCATGGGCTCACTGTGGGGTGGCCAGCAGGGCACACAGGGGACTTCACTTAACTTTAAACTAAAACATTTGTGCCTGGTAGGTCAGGTGTCCCTGGCATAGCATAGGCTGGCTGGAGGATCAGCTCCACCTGCATGATACACAGCTCTGCAATGGAGTTCCTTAGGAATAAGCTGTACCCCAGTCCAGTAATTCGGTCATAGCAGCAATTGCAAAAGTAACTAAGTAAGAAGCTATCAGACACCTTGGAAAAGTGCATTTATTGAAAATAAGGGTAACAGACCACTAAAAACAGACCTTCCACCTGGCTGCTGTAAGATGCTGCTGCTTTCCCACGTGTACTAACTGACAGCCCACCTATCCTTGGTTTCTTGCAAACAAAGCAAACAAGTAACCTCTGGAGGGTCTAGGAAGCCTGCTTTGTTTCACACCTGCATCAGGTGAGGCACAGCAGTTCAAAAGGCCTGTAAATGCCTCTCAGCTGAGTGGTACAAATTAAGACAACAAAGCACCACTTGACATAGCTGGATCATAAATTTAATCTGTTAACTTTGCAGCTGCAAGCTATAAGACAAAGCAAGTGCTCAGGTAAAGGAATAGGATGAAATTCTGGAAGGAAATGATCCCCAAGTATCTTAATCCTTTAGATACAAAAAGCTGCCAAAGACCTAAAATGGAGGCAGCAAATATAAACCCCTTAATGCTATTAAAAATTTCCTCTCATGAAGACAATCACAAGAGTCAACCACAATATGACTGTAATTTTTGTGAACAGGCTAAGTCCAGCAAAATCACTGGGCACTCTTGCAATGATCTTAAAAATGGATCTGTGAGGAGAATTAACAACTTGGACTAGGAACATAAACCTACTATCAACTATTCTTTGGTAATTTACTCATCTCAAACTAACAGCAGCAGCACTGATGAGGGAATCAAACAAATGGACTTGCTTCTTTACTGCAATCCCAGAAAGCACCAGAGGAGAGCATTAGTAATTCTCCCTACAAGACTTGACTGTACAAGGGAGAAACCTGGAGGAATTACAGGAATAAGGTGTTTAGTGAAGAGGATGAGCACAACACTTATTTACTGTGCTCAAGCCAATACTGCAAAGTAGCTTCTGATTCCTCAGAAATGTCCCATGATGTAACATCCAGCTGCTACTGAGGAGTTGCTACCCCGTAATACCTTCCTACAAGCTAGGTATTACCAAACCCATAACTGAGTCACTAGTTTGATTACCTATCATGAATACTGAAAATGTAATATCCAAAAATACCCAAATTAACATGGTAGTTTACTGAAGAGAGCTGAGCAGTAGAATTAACTGCTTCCTAAACTCACTGGTAGCACACAAGATCCCATACAACTGGGAAGTCAGTAGCAGCCAGTCTGAAGGCATGTTATGCTGTAAATTCTCTCCTTCAAGCAAGATAAACCAGAGTATGCTCCCCACCCATACAGACTGCTACAGTGTAATTGTATCAGTCAAACATGCCCAACGGCAACTACCCAGTTCAACAGTCTGAGCCAGCCTTTAACTTCTACCCAGCTAAAAGAAAGCAAATTGGACTTGAGCACTGGTTGATAGAATACCAGCAAGCCTGTTCCTGCTCAGCAGAGGTCACCTCTGCAAGGTAAATACTGCTACAGAAAAGACTGGTATGATTTGGGTTGGAAGAGGTAACCTCAAACATTCTAGCAGGAAAGACCAAGGGATGGAAATCTTGAAAGAAACAGTAGAAAAGATGGTCTGAATATATATATGTCACTGGGCCTCAGCAGTGCACAGCAAGCTGTTCAAGAAGCTACTGAAGTGCAGTCACCAGACTGAACTCACTCCATTGTAGGGGTGTATCTGGTTTTTGAACAGTGAGGCACCCAACTTGCTTCTCTGAAGAACCTGGAGGCTCCCTGCTCTGTAGCCATTCTTGCACTTGGATGGGAAACCCACTCAATTCTAACCATGATCCTGAATTGCAGTAGATATCTAACCCAACAGAGAAATGAAATCAACGTCAAGAAAAATTTAGTTTTTCTCCTATTACTTATCTTTGGACAAGTGGCATATCATCATCACCTTTCTGTGCCTCAATTTCTAATAGTGACATAACAAAAGTTATGTATGACCAACTACAGAAATATTCTGAAACCTAACATCTATATCACTATAAGTACTTAGAACCACTGAAACAAGCTAAAAATTAAGTTATCTCTGACACAAATTGTTTGTGTGCTTGCACCACTATCTGGTTTGGTTCCGAGTTTTTTTTTGTGGGAGTTTTCATACAGCAACAAAGATGGCTCCCTTACCATTTGAAGTTATTTTTGCAAGAAAGCATCCTGAAAGCAGAATACACAAAAGCATGTGAGACTTGGGGAATTTTATGTCATTGTCCAGATTCATCTGAGAATTGTGCAGAGTCTTCTATGAAGAAAAAAAAAAGAGGAAAAGGGCACTCACATTACCAGGCTTTAGGAGCACATACTGAGGTACTTGAGGAGACCACAGTCAGCAAGGAGGGATAATTTCCAGTGGTGCCCCTTCAGTAACCCAGAGACTGCAGAAAAATCAGCCTCTATGTCTGAAGGTCATATACATAATCTTTTTTCCTCCTATCATGGCATAAAATATGCTTCAATTAATAGATCAACATCAGGGCTAGAATTCCCAGACCAGGAGTCTACCTTTGGCACTGCTGACACTAAATGCCCAGCTATTACCTGTTGCTTCAGCAGAAATGGAGTCTACTCAAGTAGACTTACGTCTTCTTTAAAAAAACAAAGCAAAAAACTTCAAACCAAACCCAACTGGAAAAAAAACAGAAACAAAAAACAAACCAAAGCAGAACGTGTTCCTTGTGACAGAATGATTTTACACAGTAGCTGTAATAGCCCCTAAAATAACCAAAGCAGCTACCCCTTGGTATATAATTTTGTATTTTCAGAGAAAAGCCTGTCTAGCCATACACACAGTACCTTGAACTGACACAGTTTAAGCAACCAGGCCACATTGGTAAATATTATGAAACACTGGAAGATGATCTGCTTGTGAAGCACCTGTGTTAATGCTCAGTGCTAATTATACTTCTGGGACAGGTGCATACCTGGGAGAGAGTTCCTCTCTTGCCAGGATTTCCACCCCAATGAGAGGGACTTGTACTCCTTGTAGGATTTCCATCCAGGTCTCCATACCAGGTGGAACCTAAGCCTGATTCTGACTGCTTGGTGTTACTGATGAAGATACCGTGTATGAAGATGAGAGAGACTGCAAAGACACATGCAGATTAGCTCTGGGCTGTGGGCAGGAACTGGGGTAGTAGCTGTGATCTCCCACAGAGATGGGAGAACAGAGCATATTCCAGCCTTGTCTTTCCTCTCAGTTCCAATCAGCTTTCAATTTGGCACCAAAGCTGTGAGGTACAGGCACACTTTGCTCCACCAGTGTCAGTGGAAAGGCATTAATTCCAGCAGAGGACAGAGGCATCACTGACAAGCTGAGAGTTTAGTGCCTGCCAAAAGGAGGAACACCATTGAGTCTTACATTTTAGCTGAGTATTGGATAAAACCATCACCCTGGGAGACACACACTTCACAGCTGGACCTGAAGGGCATTGGACCTATTCTCCCCTCCCAGTCCCAGGTGAAGCTGGAGGGAGTCACAGAACTCAGAAGGCAGCAGAGGATTCTGGAAAAGCCTGAGCTTCTCCTACAGCACATACCAGCACAAAGTGAGGGAACACCAAGATACCTTCCTTCACAGAAAGCTTCTACTTGCATTATTAACGTCTGAGATGCACTCTTTAAACTTGGTGAAAAAAAATAGTTTATTTATTCCATTGGCTTATTTAAGTAGATGGCCAACCAGAACAGCAAAAAGGGGAAAAACTCTCACAACCTGGGAAAAAAAAGGTCCGAGGTTTTAGGTAATTTATGGAGAGTTTATAAGCAACCCTATCAGCATACTTAGAAACCATATTTCATCTGGAACGCAGACAGATTAAATTAATTTTGAATAACTAGCCCCCATTTCCTCTCAGCATCTCCGCAACCCTCAATGTAATGTCACCCTGCAATAGCCACTCAGATACCTGGGACAGGCAGTGAAGAAACAGATCAATTTTTACTCCTAGCACTGCTGAAAATTACCATTCCAACACAAATGCACTTTTAAAAACTCCCACACTTTGGATTTGATTTGCAATACCCCTAGGGAATCCATCCCTGGGCTTCAGTGAGTACAGCTTAAAATTACCATATCCCTCTATGTATAAACAGTGTCATTAGACTTGTACTTTTAAAAAATACGATCAACCCAGGCCAGGGCCAGGCTCTGCAGATAAAGTAGTAGCTTATCTCTTATAAATATTTTTAATAATTTTTAATTACAAGTAGTCCTCACTCCAGGTAATGTAACTGACACAAAGTACCTGCACACATGCAGCCCCAAGACTTTCACAGAAAGCTCAGGAGCAACCACTCTATAAGAAAGAAATCCTACCTCACAGCAAAGTAGAGGAGGGGACACATGGCCAAGACAGCCTAAATGGGGGGAAGAGTCATTTGGAGTAAATGCAATAAAAAAGGACTTCAAAACTCCTCCATATAAAGGATCAAGGAGGCTAAAGCAAAAAACTAGTTCAAAAAGATGTACAAAATTGTTGGAGACCAACAGAAAACTCTGCCAAAAAATAACTTGTGTTTAAATCAGGAATCAATGGCATCACACAATTTTGGTGTTAAAAAAAGGAAAACAGAAGTGGAAATCTGTGTAAAGATCAGCATCAGAATGAAGAGTTATCATTAGCTCCAGAGACCAGCATAATTCCCATGAAGTCCTGATGGAAGAGGGCCTCCTGCCACAAAGAGTTTCGTTCCAGACGAGTCGTAGCAGTGGGTGTAAACAGCATTTGGGAAGTAATTTATGTCAGAAAAATAATTCCTCCAAGTTTCATCATGGTTCTGTTAAAGGAAAATTTAGATTGTTACTGTTGCCAAACAAACCCCAAACCCTGTTTCACAAAAGCCAAAGGTAGCTTCAGAGCCTAAAAAAGGGTATTTTCTCTCAATAATCCTGAAGCTTCATAATGGTCAACTAAAAGATACATGAGTTGTCCTAAAGCTTTTTCTGAGAATATTTAGGTCAAGCATTGGAACAGGGAGGTGAAGGGACATTGCACTAATACAAAAATGTAATGGAGCTAAGTTAAACAGAGCCATTAACTGCTTTATGATAACATACAGGAAACCAAACTCAAGTGCCTGCTACGCCATTACCTCAGGAAGCCACAGTTTATAAAACTGCACACAATTAAATTAAAAGTCTCTTGCTTCAAATGCCACATTAGATTACCACAGCTTTAAAGAAAGACAATTTATTTTTTGTTTGAGGTTCTGAGAACTAGAAGTTAGATTACATTTGAAAAGATATAAAATCTAGTTCATTTATGAATCAGTGCATAAGAACGGTAATCACTACACCTTACACTCAAGCAAATAACCTTCAGTACCCTTTCATAAAGCTTTTGTAGAAAGCAATTCTTACTTCATTATTAGTTTTTGGTTACATGAATACTGTTTGACTGAGACACATTTCACACAACCAAAAAGAATTTGCTCAAGCTCTAGGCTGCTTCTGTATAATGGGTCTCCTTCCCTCCCACCCCTATCACAGCTACAAACTACTTACCAGCCAGCCTTTCCCAGTTGTCAACTTCAAAATTTCACTTCCTCCTAATTTCTTCTGTCCATAGCAGGCACGGGGGAGCTTTTCTTCCAGGAACCTCTGGGCTCTGATATCATAAAACAACAAGGACCCCTGCCCTGTCCCCACAGTAATGATGTGCTCATAGAAGCTCACTGAGCGGATACCTGTCAGAGAAGAGACAGTGCAGTAAGGAAGAGGGATGCTTTGGCTCTGCAGTGCTGTTGCTTCATGTCTACTATTACCTACTAGTATTCTCCACAACACACAAGTTTTTCCACTGTTACAGAGCATTGCAGACAAATCCCACTTATGCTACTGAAACCGCAGCTTCGATTGCATACATGACTGCCCTACTTGAGACCATCAGCTACACCAATGGTGCACAGTAAGAAGCTTCATCCTCACCAGCCCTCAGGTCTGCCAGATAAGCCAATTAGAGTCCAGAGTACCTTTGCTCTGTCTGCCACAAGCCTTTAAACGAACACACCAAGACCAAGTATGTGGCAGCAGACAGAGGGAAGAGCACCATGCTGTTCTCCTCCAAGAGCTCACACCCTCTCTAGCTACCACCTAACCGGCAGTAAGTGACCATCTGAGAAAAGTTCCAGCTGTCACCCAGTGCATTGTGCTGATCAACAGGCTACCTGTAAGCAAGTGTAACCATAATATAATCACTAGTCACTTTGCTGCTAAGCTAGCTTCAGAACTATTAATGGGTTTCCACTCAAATATTCTCAAACACACCTTATTTTCAGTAGCTAGGATTTTTAGCACTTTAGCCAGGAAAGAAAACAGAATAGGACTCCTACCATCTAAACAACACCAAGTTCCACCAGTACATGGGAAGGTACAGTTCAATCTAAACATGTTAGCACAATTCAGTTGTCCCATTACATTGAACAAAAGAGTACATTTTGTTTTCACAAAATCTAAATTTGAAGTCTCAGCTAATCAAGGATCCCTTAGAACTAGTCTTGAGGTAGACCTCTGTATGTAAAAATTTGCAATCTGCAAAACATTCTGTCATCACATCTCCATTTACTATGCAAATACTGTTCTGGGTAACCACTCTACTCCAAACAACTCTTCCCCACAGGTTAAATTCCACCACATCTATACTTCTCTTTCCTTCATGACAGGATGCCAGTTTTTTTGTCCTGGGGCTTTTTAGGCCCTCTTTAAAGTACCACTGAATTATAGCCTAAACAAGCATTCAGGAGAGGAAATAAGTGAGTTATGCCAGCTACATTCACATGCTAGGTGTTGTCACCATACCAAGCATGGCTGAATGTCACAGAACTTGTATCATCCTGGAATAGTCCCAGCAGCACATGTGACAGCAGACAACTGTGAGCTGTGGATGCAACCAGGGAGTTTCCCCTTCCCCTTTGTACAGAGTCCTAACAAGAAACATGTCCTCATCCTTCTTCCTCTGCCACTGGATGTGACATCCACAGCCATCAGCATTTGTGACATGCACTTAGAACAAGGCAAAGCCACATTGTCCTGCTCCAGATATGGGGTGAAGTCTTGGCTGCAGACTTAATGGGCAGGAAACCACTGTGCAAGTCTCTCTACTGAAGCAGATTATGAGATTCATATGAGAGTCTCTGCTTTAATTCAGAGAGCTACAAATGCACTTAAGACAGCAGAAGACCTTCCCCCAGCCTCTCTCACATGGCTCTGGCTCTGGCAAACACACAGAGAAAGCTTTAAGGCCTCTGCAGTCAGCAAAAGCAGTCACTTGGGTAAGAGGAGAAAGGCACAAGAGTAGACCTCTTCTTATTTTTGCTCCAGAAGTGCCCTTGACAAGCCACCCAGGAGAACACTTACTTCAGACAAACAGGTGATGGAGTATCAAGGCAGATGGCATATACTCTTCAATTAAATGTATTAATAAAAAGCTATAAAATGCAGAGCAACCATGGATCTTTCTCTAACCAAAGAAATTAACTGAAGGAATCCATGATGTACCCACTACTAAGAAGGATATTTAGAACAGGCTTTCAAGAACAACATTCCAAATTGTCTCCTATGGGGCTGAAGATTAATCATTCCCATCATGTTTAAAAGTACAGCCTGTGCCTAGAACCAATCACAGCAAGTTCTATACTCTTAGCCCCAGCTGAGATTATACCCTTAACCTAACCTACCCTATACCTTAACCCTAAGCTCCAGCCTTGCTGAGCCACCACCTTTCTCTTACACGAAAGTAAGGCTTTTGTGTACAACACAAGCGAACTGAAGTTAACATGGACTTTCAACTTTGCACTTTCCAAGTGCACACTCCAGCACAGGGGCACTTGGAAACTTAAAGCATATTCAGGTACCACTGCAAAGCACTTGAAATCAGATTTTAGTCCACAGATCAATAAAGACCCTGTTTCTTAGAGGTGCTACACCACTCCAAGTCCTAGGGAGATCAATAGAAAGTGGAAACAGTCAGTATCTTGGGAATTGCTGTTATTTATGTGCCTCCACCACCATGTGAAATAAAAAGATGTACCTACTCTGCAGAAAACAGCCCTGAACAAAGGTTTTCTCCAGACTCCTTGAGGTACTCCCTACACACATTATCCCCCAATATGCAAAATCACATACTTGAGGCAGAAGGTTTCAGCCACCAGCCACCACGGGGCACTGCATACACTGCAGTGTCTGGGTCAGGACCTGGACAGAATCCTCACTAACAGCAAGTGAGGACAAGTGATCTTGCTGGTAAGACATTCAGGTGACTTCTCCTGACATAGACATTTCTCCCATATCTGAAAGCAGAAGACCCTGACACTGATCTAGACACCATCACTCATTAACTTCATAAATAAGTTTCCTAATCTTTGCAGCCATACGTTCTCCTCTGATAACCTGCTTGATGAAGAGACGGAAACCCAGAGAAAAGCTAAGCAAGGACTGCAACTTATTAGGCTGGGACTAATCTGGCACCATGCCTTCTCATGCCTGATAGTAAAGGATATGGAGAGAACTTTATGGAACTATAAAAAGGGCTCTGGAAGGCCACAGGCCTGGCCCTGGTATAAGGTTCAACTGGACAAACTGCATCCATATGAGAAACAGCACTCAAATCATGTAGAAAATCAGGAGTCTCAGTCGTGGCTTTAAAATTACAAAGCAAGCTTTCCCTCACAGCACAGACACCCAATAAGATAGCACAGAGAAGACAACATGCCTTTTTTCTAATTCATAGAAAAGAATGCAAGAACAGTATGAACAGTGGTAAAAAGACTACATTAGCTTTGAGACAATAAAAAATAGAATAAGACCCAGGAAAAAAATACACAGCAGTAAAATGCATACTTTTGAAAGTTCAGTAATATTTGGATAGTTTACAACTGAGTTGCTCCTAAAGACAGTGATGTTGCCCTTCACTAGATTTCAAAGTTGGTCACATTTGGTTTTTTGTTTGTTCCAGGTATACTATCATGAAACCAAACCTATACATACACTCCTAATTATTTAGCCCATCACTAGAAAAGCCCTTCCTGTTCATTAGAAGCTTGACTTACTACAGTTTTAATAGCTACTTCTGCAAGCAAATCATTTGAAGCACCTTTGACAGGCTTCTTACCACTGCCTCGTTCTTTGGAACAGACGGATTTAACGTTGTGAGAAGGCTGCCTCGGATCCAGAAAGGAGACATGTGCCTGTGATCCTACAGCATACACTGACCACTCCTGGCCGTAAGCCAAACAAACGTTCTCCCTGCAGTATGGCAACTTTGTGGAAAGTAACTGGAAACAGAAAAAATAAAAATCAACCCATTACAAGAAAAGACTAGGGTGTTAACAGAACAATTTTGTAAGCTATGTTCTAGGAAGCTGCATGGAAATAAAACACAAAATGCGGGTGAAAAGACACAGAAGAAAGAAACGGGAAACAATGGGGTGCCTTATTTGAAGCAAACTGAGACAATAAAGGCTGAAGCAAAAAGAAATGGACATTTTAATAAATTGTTTTAGATCTGTCTAAGCTGCTTCTATTTCTTTAGCAGATGCACAGCAACATCAGCTCTCAGCTGAAAAAGCTGATCACATTCACTAGCATAGGTAAGTCTGGGTGTGATTTGCCATTACACTTATTTAAGTGCAAATTCCTTTATGAATTCTACTGATAAAGTATCCACCATACTCCACGGAATGGTTCACTTCAGCTAATCCAACACAAGCAGAAAGTTAAGGGGGCTTCCTGCCCTCTAAATAAGGAGGTGTGCAGAGCTTCTCTCCTTTTCCTGCTCCAAACTTTAAAATATTTCATTTCACATAGAACTTTTAAGTGTTTTACAAACACTGCTGCTCTTCAAATATTTGAAGGAAATTAAGAATAGTGAACAGCCTTAACTGCTTGCAGTTTTTGAAGTTTAACTCCAACAAATGGAAAAGCACCTTTGATAGCGTGTGCTCTGCTTTCCAAAGATGAAAATACCCATCCAGGGACACAGCTCCCAGCTCCTATTAGAAGGAAAATAAAAATAAGACAGTTAGTTTCTGTATTATAGATATCCTTAAAAACTCACCTTCTATTCTAGGCAGGCTGCACAGTCTGGACTGAACCTATCCATAATCTTGTAAGACTCTATCAAGATAATTTTCATTTTATACTGATCTTCACAGAATACCATACAGTACTTCAGGTGTCAAGCAGAATCAAAATTAACAAAAGAGTAAATAACAACAACTTTCAATACCACAAATCTCACTTGGCAATCAAATAATGAATTATGAGACAGTACAATCTAGAATTGACAATTCTCTTCATCAGGTCCCACACTGATTCTAACCCTGAAGCAAGTTTCAGGCACCAGTCTACTGAAAAATTTACATGAAGTTTCCATCACAGAGGAGAAACTAACAGCTATTTTGAAAAATAAAGCCTACAGGAGCACTGTGCTTCCGACAGCACACCCACCACCCTTGCTTCAGACGTTTTCTGTTCTTTGAGGGCAGGGGGGAAGACAATGTGGTGAAGGATGAATTGCTACACCCACTAGTAATAACAGGAGATCAGGATAAGGGAGATTGACATTTGTCAAATACCAACAAAATAACACCAAAGCAAGTGCTCGTGCCTGCCCTGTGAGTCAGTCACCTCATTTGCTGAGCAATCCAGAAAGGACTCAGCACTGAAACAGGAACTGTTAAATGTTAGTTGGTCTTCACAGAGGGCAAAGGAAAGCAGAAAGAGCACTCAAGAATGGTATTCAAGCTGCAAGAGATGTTTTGGTGCTTTTTCTGCTTCTTGTAAATATTTCTTTACTCCCCTGCTTAGGATGCAAATCTAAAATCAAACCCACAGGAAAACTGTGCCTTCTAAAATGTCTGGGGTTGGTTTTTCCCCCTTCCGGACTCCTCCATTCACTTGGGGCAGAAGCAGACCTAGCAGATTAAAACCACCGCCTCACTAGACAAGGATGCAAAAGAATCAGAGAAAAATGTATTAGCTTGCTCCTCTGGTATATTCTGTTTAGATTACTTTTTAATATTTCTAATACACAGGGGTAATTTCAGAACTTCTCAATTGTCTTGCTTATCTTACTGACCTTGTTCTTATTGTTGAAAGCCAATGCTCGGACTTTGCAATTGTCAGGATTGGTGTTCTCCTTGGGGATATCCTTCAGAGCACTGTGTGTTATGTGGGCATAGACAGGAACTTGAGAGAGATTGTGCCTGGCATCGCTTTTGGATAACACATCCTCTGTGACTTCCCAGAGACCCATTGAACCATCCCGGGAACCTGATCAAATACATGAATAGTCCATTCCACATATACAGAACTCCTCTTTAAGAAAAAAGGATTAATCAATAGGGTCTGAAAAAACAGATAATCTTAGATTAATCTAACAGAACACAATGTTAGTGCCCATATGTTATTATTAACAAAAGGATGATTTATAAAGTTCAGAATATTATGAACTCACTGTCAACTGTCCATATGGTTTTCAAGCAGTTAGACTACCTCATACATTTTCAAACTGATTAAGATGCATCAAAACCCACAACTCTGTGCAACAATTATCATCATCTCATACGGAGAATGAACTCAGAAGCAACTGAACACTATAGGTTCACTATAACCTGTCACTCTCAGCCTTACTAAAACAGTCAGTTAAACCAGTGGAAAACATTTCCATAAAAACCTCAGCTGGGTTTATGCCAATTTGGGTTTCGTTGATTTCTATTAGTGTGCTTATGGCTGAGTACACAGTCATTCATGAGCTGAGCAGAAACATCTATTTCAAGTCTCAATTGTACCACTTTGGATGAAAACTATCAGAAAAATTATTTTGCTAAAATCTGTGCCACTTCTTCCTTAAAGAATGTAACTTAGGCTAAACAAACAGGAACTCATTTTATTTTTCTACTGAATTTGAATACATTAATCCAAAATACAAATCACTAATGTTAAGAACACTGGATGAAGAAAGATGAATGCCTCTGGCTCACTGGACAACACAAGCTTAATCCAAGACCTTATATACATCCCTTCTGGTGTTCAGGAAACTCACTTCCATCTAAGTCATCTCTGACAGATTTGACAGGTACCTCAATTTCTTTTCTACATAAAGTGAAAAATTCTGTCAAAAGAAATTAATAATGAAGATGCCAGAAAAAAAACTATATATCTATATGAGGCTATTAAATGTATTAGCTTTGCTATCTCATAGGGCAGAAGCTGCAAAGACAGCAAAGCAAAATATCTTGTTTCAAGAGGAGTCGTCCAGCACAGCAGAGGTGGCTTTTCCCCACAGATGGATTCAGGCATTTGCCACTATCACCTACTAGAGAAAAATACAAAAAGGAGCATCCTAATGACACTTGCATCCAGCAGCACAACATCCTGCCACTCTATTATATGCCATTGGCTTTAATTGCACCTAATCTTGTTTGTTACAGATGTTGAATACTCAGCAGTAAAATTTCTAAACATCTTGACATACTTTCGGAGGAAGCTGTCCCATTTAATAGCCTTGGCAGGGGAAAGAGTCCATGTATGTTGCTTAACTGGTTAGCCCTGAAGCCAAGCAGAGTATCATTTGCTACCCTAAGCTCATGCCATCCTGGGAATTATTCATCTCATCTGCAGCTTTTGCCATAAAAATACTTGCTATAACCTCAATGTCTGGAGTTCAAGTATTTCTACTTGACACTTTCATACACAGATGCAACTGAAATCTGTAAAATTAAAACCACATCAGAAGTTAGTTGTCTTTTTTCTCTCAATTAGGGTCATCAATGAGTTCTAAAGAATTCAGTTTAGCAAGCAGTCTTGCTAATTGCTTTTGACAATTTTTTGGTGTCTGAGGTATAGAGGCTGAAACCTACATCCTGCTTTATAAGCACTACAGTAGAGAATATGGCAGAAAAGAACACTTCTACTCACACATCCACTCAGATTTTCAGAAAATACTGAGTCAACACAGTTCAATCTCACATGCTGTTCATTCTATCAGGCCCTTAACTTTCCTCTGGACATCTGTAATAATCTATGCTGTTCTCTTCAAGCTTACTAGCTTGAATTTGGGGAAGTTTTTTGTAGATATGTGGGGTAGAGACTTGCAAGGATCATATTTTCTATTAAATTCAAAATTGAAATTCCAGGATTATCTTTTTGGGTTTGGATAAAAAAATTCTACTAAAGTAAACCAACAATTCAAATATGTGACTTTTATTTAAGTTTTATTTATGATTTTCTGTCACCTGCAGTTTGACAACTCTGAATACAGAAAAGTACACCCTGTCAGCATAGAAAGGCAGTAAACTGCTACATTAATTCAACAACAAATTACTACTTTTGCCTTTACTGAAGTAATTCTTCATGTAGTTAACAATGATTATCCAATTAGTTACCAAAAAGTCATTAACTGATTTCTCTGTAACAGCCTTCTGTATTAACTGCCATAGTGTAAGTGCATATATACACACAACTGTACTGAGAGCTTGATGAAACAATCTGAGTTTTTATTAATTGCTCTCTCACATGACTTCAGAAAACCAATATTGATCTCAAGTATTCTGAAGTTATTAACCAATAGCCAATATACCTCCTGAAATTACTCCTCTTATGTGGAATCCTTTCCTGTAACTCATTGTGTTCAAACATCCCCTTACTAGAAACACAGTAATATTCTAATACTAGAAAAATCAGATCTGGACTAAGGCCCAACAACAAAATAAAATGAAGCACTGTACTAAGTCCAAGAAGTGTTTAAATAGACTAGGTATCTCCAAGTGGTTTCAAATGCCCTGATAGAGGTGCTTTACCACTTACCAAATATTGAACATTGCTATAACATTCAGAGAGAAGGAAAGCTTAAAAAACAAAACAAACAAAAAAAAACTCAAGAGGGAAAATACGACTTTACCAGAAACAGCCATAGTATCACTGATCCACGCAATTGAAAATATCCAGTCCTTGTGTCCATCCTGAAAGAAGAAAGACAGATTTTTCTGTGACATTATACTCAACAGCAGTCTCAAAGCAGACAAGTATTCTTCATTTCAATTTTTAGTACAAGCTCAGAAAGACAGACCTACATTATGAGCATACAGATAAGATTCCAGTATCAAGCTGGAACAGTTTAAGTACCTAACAGTAATTTTAACTTTTGTGGTTTTGAAGTGTGTAATTAATAAAGAGTAAACAGGTGTTGGAAAAACAGGACTCTGACCAAAGAAAAACTAATTTCAATTCTAAAATTTTCCAGAATTCTCATGTCTTCTATTCTGAAAGCAGCATTTTTCTGTAAAGTATCTACTTGTTAGGGTTCTTTTCTTCAAACACATAACCTACTATAAAAAGTAACCAAAATCTTATGTTTACAATACATGACCTACAGATTAATGTTTCAAGACTCTGTTCTTTAGCATGTGAGAAACCTATGGGGGGAAGAAAACAGACCATAAGACTCTAGTTTTGTTCAAAAAGCTAAAAAAAAATCACACAAATTAAGAGCAAGTCATGCAAATCTTTAGTCAAGTCTTGCTGCAACTGGTTATCTGTTGCTGCAGAAACTCTGACCTGACCTCTGCTGCTGCAATTAACATCTACATGAAGTCCTGAATAAAAAGGAGCTGAATGAAAAAGAGAAACAAGAGAGAAGTGCTCACAGAATAGCACTATATTCTCCAGCTTGTCTCTTTAAAGACTGGCTGTTTTAGAAAGGCCTCAGGATGTTTCAGAAATAAAACCAGTACCAGAGTGCATCAAACTGCCACAAACTGGTAGGTTAGAGCTAATCTTCAAAGCCAAGTTCCACCTCTGGAATAATACATCCACAAACTGCACTGGGATAAGGGGAAAATTTTAACAACTTGCAACATCATTTTAATTTCTCAAAAGAGCTTTTTCACTATAAATAGTTTCAGAGGTCATTATCACAATTAGACCTTTTGTTACACTTTCGGCACTGAAAATATAAGCTAAAGTAGATGTGAATGAAGGTGAGGAAGAAATCTGACTCAAAGCCCTGGAAATCCACTCATGTTTGAGTACTCAATTACATTTAAGATACCACAACAGAAATGACAACTCGATCAGAAACGTTTTCAGGCTTTGAGAGCTCTACTTTCTTACATGACTCCTAGAAATTAACCTTGCTCTGATCAAACACACTTCAAAGTAGAAACTTTTTAAGTGATGGAATAAACTTTCCCCAGATATTCCCACTTACATCTCCCACACAGACAGGATCAAGTGTTGGCAGACGATAAATTGCAAGACTGTTGGGGTTGTCTCCACCTGTGGCCAGGAGGGTCCTTGAGGGGTTGATCTCAATAGCATGAATACCACATCCCTGCTGGTTCACCATGCCGGGTTCACGATCCTTCAGGATGGGAATCTTGGTAATTTGGCCAGTCTGGACATCTACTACAAATAACTGGGGAAAAAAAAATAAAACCCAGACATGTAAGTCATCAGCAAACAGATAAGAGAAACAAGATGGTCAAATATCCTCCCTATTTTTAACTGACATTCTTTTTGAGCTGAAAGGATTGCTGAAAAATGCATAAATTCCTTCTTAAAAGAGGTTAAATAACAATTACAGGTTTATTTCAATCATCCCATTTCATATTCACAGTAAGGGAAGGGAGAGAAATCTGTCATGGGAGGTTTCCCAATCAAAAAAAAAAAAAAGCCTTTGAATGTAAAATTCTTTTCCCTGTTCAGTATGACAAAACAATATTGTTTTTCACTGTCTACCTCCCACAGTGAGAAAAAACCTACCTCAAAACAGCCATTAAGCCCCATGGATTCTCCTGCCTCACAGATAATATACTTAACATAGAGTTTTGCCTTTGGCAGACTGACAGTTTATGCTAGAATTCATTTCCTTGTGATACACAGAGAATAGTAACTAAATACAATACTGTCAGTGCAAACATCTGAAGGGAAGATATTTAACTATACACCTCATCTCGCAAAAAGACAAGAAATTAGAGCAATATGTCACTAACACCTTGTCAGAAAACTCTTTTATAAAGCCTTACAACTCTTCAAACAGACATTATGCCCAGCGTCAAGTCCGTGCAGACATATACAACCATGAGGTTACAGTTTAAACCAGAACAAAGGTTTACATTGCCTGCCAAAGTGCACTTTCATTTGGGAGGCTCACAGGCTGGGTCGTTTCACAGACGGTGATCAGACAGCAGCTGTACTGACAGTCAAATACATCTAACAGAGGAGACAAAGCCCTGTGAGGGAACTTGAGTGAGCCAAGGAAACAGAGGATCTGAAGCTGACTTGGCACTAAGGAAAGTGATCTAGAATTCATGGCCCAGGATTATAATTAAATTCTACATCATCTTTAGTCTGTTCCTTCTATAATCAAGAATGTTGTCTCAAAACCTCTGGAAGTGAACCAAAGATGATCAGTGTAACAACAAAACCCCTCCACACATTTTAATACACACCTCAAGGAAATTGTTCTGAAATCCTTTGTCAGACATTTCTAAAAGATCAGAAGAAAAATCTAGGGGTTCTTAGAGAGAAGTTATACATACAAGCTGCTTTTGGTGAATTCTAACAGAGTGTAGATCTGTTCTTTAATAAAAGCATAGGAAAAATAACATTAAGATAATTTAGCAGCATATCTATTACTTGATATACTGAACTGGCAGAATATTAACGTCCTATCAAAACCTGATAAAGGTTGATGGTATGTTACACACATTCCACAAAACAAGCTGAAATCCACTCATCGCTATTGGTGTGTTGTGTCTAGAATCATGCATACCTTCACCTTGCAACTGATTGCAGGCAGCAGTCTTGCACAAACAGATGACTCCTACAGAGACTGCATTTTCATGTTTACTTTTTTATTTTGCATGTGGTGTATGGCAACAGCTGAGGTGTAGCTGAGTAGAAGGGAGGCACTCTTCATTTTTCCCAAGCCTTACAAAGCCTTCACTGTGGAGACAGCTGGTAAAAACACAATGCACGTAGCAGTCCCTCTGCCCTAACCACTTGAAAATTAACACCGGCACTGAAGGATTTGGATCAGCAATTACCTCTTCTCTCATCCTCCCTTGTCCTTCCCATGTGAGTGCACATCCCCCTTCACCTCTAGTATTTCTTTCCCGCAGAAATTCCCAATTCCCTCCCCTATCCTCCTTCAACTACTGAAAAAACCCAAAACCCTGAACAAAATTAACCATTTAGTAGCTAGGACTAAAGCTTGCAGGTCCCTAATGTTAGTGACACCAGGAGTACAAATTAGGAAAACACATCCACATCTAAGGATGTTCATGGGCTCAGAAGAATTCTGCTTTAGCTGTAACAGATTCACACCTGGAAGTGCAGGTCAACTGGTATAAGGACTAAAATGAAAACTTTGCATTCTCTAGTCTGACACTCTCATCATACGCCTGTGTTGATTAATAAAAAGTTACAGTAATGAAAAATACCTTTAGCTAAATTCTAAACTAATCAGACTAAAAAGATAAAGAACTTAAACTTTGCACACATAAGGGACTGGTATGTTGTTTTGGCTGTGAAGGTCAGAGCAGTAACTTCTCCACTTGCTTGGTCAGGAACTTGTCTACTGAGTAGTCTAAAAACAACCATCACCTCCCTTGAGTAAAATAAGCAAACACTGCCTGCACACAGAGATTCTTACATCACCTGGGGCATCACAGGAAGCAAAAGCTCACACTTGAAAGCTGCACCTCTGTCTGCCCAGAAGTCATCCCTATAAATCCAGCACACTGAAGCCAAGATAAGCCACAGTCGATAAGACACTTTTAAAGCCAAAAAGGGAGAAACATCAAGAAACAAGAGAAGCACCCAGCTAAGAGTGCAGAAAATTTCAGTACCGATTCAGGAGTTTTAAAGATACCAGAGTAAATAAAATGTAAAATATTTTCAACTGTTGAAATAAGTACATCTGCAAGAAACATCAAAGCAGCATAGGCATTAAGAGTCTTGACAAAGTCCTGATAACTGAACCATACAGTAATTTTCTCTGTTATCTCAAACAGAAATAAGAATTTTTTCACAGCTACTCATTATGTAAAAACTAAAACCCAGCCCACAATGTTTTCGCTGGACAAAAGCCTCCGAACAGTGAACCAGCCTCCAAACACTTAACTGTGTGTATTTGTCTTTTGATTTTAAGCTTTGCATAAAATTGTGTTCTTCATTCTGGTAAAACATATGCATGTCAATCTTTAGTATGCCAAACAACTTAACATCCAGGATTTACCAAATCTGGATTGCTTTGGCCATCTGCCAGAAGTGCAAGGGCCATGCTTCATCTGTGAGAAACACAGCAGACTCAGCTACCATGGTCTCTGCCAGACAACTGTGTTCTACACAAGGAAACAGGCTAGATGACATGGAAAAGAGAAATCTACATTCCTTCTTTTTTTTTAAAGCAGTTGAGATGTACAGCTTGCAGCAGTGACATCACTCAAGGATCAAGGCAGACAAGCACCGTTAAGTACTACAATTGACACAGACATGAAACTTCATGATCTTTGCATATTTGCAGGGATTGATAGCTGTACACTTATTTTTCTTTCAGTCACCCCAGGACAGCCTGCAGAAGTGGTGAGAAGTCATTTTGGCAAATGGCTTCCCTCCAATTACTATATGGCTGTCATCATGGCTGTCCAACCTGCTTATGATCAAGTTAATGAAGAAACTACTTCGCTTCACTCATGAGGGAAGTTCATTAATCAGCTTGCCAAAAGTACAGACTGTGGCAGGGAACAGAGTATCCAAGGATGACAGTATGAACTGCAAAACCCATTATAGTCTTATATGCAATACTGAGAGCAGAATGATTAGCTAGGTTTTTTCATTTTTTTAACTGCCTTTCAGGACACAATAATTTAGGGGAGAAAAACACCCAAAAAGCTAACAGTCCAATAGAGATAAATTCCCTTCCTATGAATCTTCAACTGAAAGCATTCACTTTAAACAGCATGATTAAAAAAGAGGTATTTGAAATGCCATTTCAAGGCAGCACAGACTCTCGTGTCCTCAGCTGCTGCCCCTGCACAAAAAACCAGCAGTCCTACCCTGTCTTTATTACATAAGCAGGATGGATGGAGCTCTAAAAGGCACAAATAACATGCATGAAAGAGACTGCTCATTCTTCATGCAAGAGCTCACAACAGTGCTCCGTGTACCACCTCTTAATACTGTTCTCTCAGAAATCACAGGCACATTCTTGTGATTCATAGCAACTTTTGAAAGAAACCAAACTTAAGTACCTTGCCCCGCTAAAAATAGTCACTGAGAGAGAACCAGTCACATTCAAGTTTCACAACTGGCTTAAAGTCTTTTAGATCTTTTGAGAATCTACATGCCTCCTCCTCCTCACCATCCACCTAAACAATCTCATCACCTTTGTGAAAGTAACTAGTGCTCAAGTAGCTGCAGGGTCAACTGGATCTGCCTTGGTGAAACTAACCCTACAAGGAAACCTGTCTGCACACAAAGCAGCAAGCTGATCCAGCTGACTCCCTAGCCACATGCATATCAGTGCTAGCCAAAACAAGCAGGTGGGGACACCCACTTCTGCAAGGAGCACAACTCCAGACTAGCTGAGGCTAGTCACAAAAAGATCTCACCTGCAATCAAATTGGAAAATTATTACTTGTTCTCCTTCAAATATGATTTTTGCTAACAAAACAACAAAAGAAGACAATGCTTATTGTGCTACTACATCAATACTACTGCTGGTCACACCTGACTAGCAGTGATTGATTTTTTCAAGTTCTCAGCCTCGACTTTTATTCAGATCATAAATATATTTCTTTTCAGTTTGTAAAAAACTTGGTATCAGGTTTTTTGTTCTGTAGCAATACAAATTTACTAATATATGCGAAGCCCCAAAGACACATGGACACTTTAAACTATCCAACTGGCATCACATGTCTGCTTTCTGCTGAAGATCAAAATAAAGAAGCATAGAATGGTTTGGGTTGCAAGGAATGCTTAAAAGTTATCTTGTCCAAGTGCCCAGTAGTGAGCAGGGACATGAACTAGACCAGACTGCTCAGAGCTCTGTCCAACCTGTCTTTTCATGTTTCCACAGACTGAGTACTCAGCAGCTGTGTGGGCAACCCATGCCACTGTGTCACTAGCCTGATGGTAAAGCGTAACAATCTTCCTTATATCTCAGGTGACTCTGCCCTCATTAAACTGAAAACCAGTACCTCTTTTCCAGTCACTACAAGCCCTGTTCATCTGTCCCTATCTTTTTTTTCAAGTGCCCCTTTAGGTACTGGAAGGACATGATAAGGCCTCCTCAGAGCCTTCTCTCCTCCAGGCTGAACAACCAAAACCCTCTCAGCCTTTCCTTGTCGGAGATGTGCTCCAGCCCTCCTGCCATCTTGGTGGCCTCCTCTGGGCTCACTCCAGCAGGTC